AATACATAGAATAAATTATATATGGATTTCAGGACACGTATTTCAGGACATTTTTTATTGCGTAATTATACTTAATATCGAAATAAAAAAATATGCTAGCAATTGAGCGAAATGTTTGTTTGAAGTACAAAACCGAATTTAACTATGCAGTTTAAATCTTATTAGTATTTTTAATTCTAGTGGCTTTTGAAAATGGGTTATTATATATCCCTCCCACCYTGTGTCGGCGTTACTCTCGACAAAGGACTCGTAATGAGTCCTCTAACTGCACTTCCCTTTTAAATGTTTATACCTTAACATCCGTCCTTGTGGTGTGCAAGGGTTGTTTTTATATTATCGCTGCGACGTGCTGCACACACACACACACTCGAATCAAAAAAAAATCACCAGTCTCTCTCTCAATTATGTTTTTTTTTCGCGTCCCGTCCCTCGAAAACCGTTTGGCGTTTTATATAATATATATACGTATATAGATGTTATATACATTTATAAAAGAGGCGGAGAGGAGCATTGTCAACAATCGATGGGACGATAATTAATTTACACTTCCTTGAATCGCCGCAGCATGTCAAGTAGAGTAAACGTGTTGTTTAATTTTCGAAAACCCAAAAGTTTTAATTAAAGTTCCACCGAACAAGACGTGAAACCAGCGGTTCGTCAGAGGTCTATTAACACGCGTTTCATTATATAATTTAAACGGTAAACACCGGCGGTAACTACACTTCAATAGGTAGGTACTATAGGCTATATGTATATAACATATAGATGATTTGCAATAAATAATTAAATCGATAATGATATATTTATTACTCGAGAAAAAATTATTTATTTWTTTTTACACTGTTTGGTTCGAAATTTTATGTAGGGCATCATATATTTTAGACTCACCACGGCCACGCTGATAATTTAACATGATTTTGGTCGATAACTATACATATAGATTAGAAATTCATCGCAGATTATGTATATATATATGTATCATTCCAAAAGTGGTTTTCTCATTATTGTTTAGCAAATTTAGGTTTATCAAATACCTACGTTGTGTTTTCCACGATATTTGAATAATCACAGGTTTTCTTTAACTCAAACATACCCACATAATATTTTAATATTTGCCTTTTTATTATTATTGGTAGATATATTATACTAAATATTAATAAGTATACTATTAAGTTACAGTACTATAAAAAATATAATAGTAATATCGTGAAAACCATTCGTGTTGTTAGTTTAAAAAAAAATTCAATAGCATTGTCACCGCCATACGAATGGGATTACTGTTCAAATACCCAACCCTCCCGCGCTCAATTGCTATTCATCAACAATATATATAAATTACACAATTCTAAGTTTCCACTTCGCGAGAGTACACGAAGTCGGTATCGGGTATATAGCGCAATAACCATATATATAATATGTATACAAAGGKCCCCTTTCGCATGTTTAAAATCATCAACTTCGAACATGTACCGTTGTCGTTAACGCTGCACAACCCTGCTGCAATATCACGTCTATAACCTCGTAACGAAAATATGTAATTACTTTAACAAACAAAAAAATATTTTTATTTATTGGTCGCGTATAATATACGACAGATTAGAATTTATTTGGAYTGTGYAGCGTATTGGAAATCAAATGACGTACAATATACAATAAATCATAAGTAGCCCTTTTATCGATAGACATCACGAAATGTCAACTACTAACTGAACCAACGATTACTAATTTCTAATCGTTCAACCGCTTTTTACCGATAAACAAAAAACAAATATGTCCTTTATTTAATACTATTATATTTTACTATCAATTATTATATAATATGCTCGAGAGTATCCATCACGTGGAATAAAACTTTAAAACTCATTAGGTACCAATGTGATTTTGAATTACGTTTTTAGTGTGTGTTAAAAACGCGACCACATCAGTAGTTGCGAACACTCAGCCCTTTTTAAACGACTGATTTAACTATGATGGCGACGTGTAAGTGTAATATTGTCATGTGAGGGGGGTTGGGGAGGTAGTAATTTTTTTCAAATTCCCGCAGTTCGATAATTTGCAAATGATAATAACTGTCGTTGTTCTGTTTCGCAGGCGTCGGTGTCATTCTAGTGGCCATCAGCGGTATAGCGTGGCGCTTGACGGCCGGCCAAGAAGCGTCGTCGTGCGGAGCGGTGTTCGGGCTGGGCCGATCGTTGGACGACGCGGCCGAAGCCAACCGGCGGTTCGTGCCCAGACTGCCGCCGTCCTACGGCCGTCCACACCATCCCTACGCGGGTAAGTGTCTCGAAAACGTCCCCAAGACAGGTTTTATATCACCATATAAACGCCCATAATTTATGTAACGAGCTGAGACTTCGTATATAATATGTTGACGGATAAMATTTTTGACATTTTTTTTTTTTTTCCGTTCCACTATTACAGCCATGATGTATCCCGAGTTCGAGTACAGAGCTCCGCCGCCGTCCTATCAGGCGTCCATGCAAGAGTACCGACTGAGACTGTTGCTGTTGGACAGACAGACGAACATGCCGCCCGTCACGGCATCGCCTCCGCCGACGTACAGGTCGCAACCCGGCACGCTGATAAGGTGAGTCCCGACCGGATCACAATGTATTTACGTAAATTAAAAACGACGTAACGTCAAAACATTACCGGTCCAGWCCTCCAGACGCCGTGAATTGCATATCATCATCGTCGTGATGCTGTCCCGACGATAAATGATAATAGCGTACATTACCTATATACAATATTATAATGTTTACGCATGATGTATGTGAACGCSGCGGACAATAAATTAATAACGCGAACGTATCACGAATTCGATTATTCGACGATGATTGTTTRTWGTAAAATCAAAATGATAAACGTCGTACGTAATAATATAATAATAATATTATTTATTATTGTTGAAGGGCGGAACGTCCGCCATTTATTGAGATTTACGCGTACGATATATTATTACTGCAATCGTATAGTATATATTTCTCGAGTGGATTTTCTTAAATTTCTTATGCATTACGCATTGGTACCACACATAATATATACGATTATAAATTATTATTATGACCCGTACCGTAAACTCGCAGCGTCCTTGTGAAATATCATTCTAAATATACTTATCTACAACTCGCCTGCAGGCCCATGCAAAGATCCGTGCTACATCCATCACATGGTCATTTTTGTCTACATGACTACATCATACACTTTATGTTATACACATTCGATATATTATACAAGTAATATCCCAACATTTACGATCTATATGCGATTTCAAAAAAAAACTATATTAAATCTTTAATAGAATTTAATTAGGAATTAGGTAGGTGCCTAGTATTTTGGACCATTTTTTACTCTATTCTGCAGGGTCAGGATGAACTATATATTATGCTCTATCGAAACCACTATAATGTTTAAGTTTACGTCGCTTTACCCCGTTTAGGTATTCACTATATTTACTAATCATAGAACCACGCAAACTCAGTACTTACTTACAGGCAGTATAGATCGACCTACATAGTTATATACTAACTCCTACGGTTTTTGGGGTTAATGATGTTGTCGTATACAGGACACAGGCGATGTGTGACACAAGCAGCATATTTCGTTTTAATTTCCTATTTAATAACAAAACCACACTCTAAAACCAAATTGACCCATACCTTCTGGAGAAAATTGTCCACTAAACGGTAACACTGCCGCACAATTGATTTTGACATTGGCATTATCACTTTTCTGAAATAACAGTTTAAATTTCTGGCGCACAGTGCACCTCAATCGTTATTATAAAGGTTACCTGTATGGCCCAAACATATTTTTAATACATAGTTATACATCATAATATATCATAATAATAATTATGTTATTGCACTATATTGATCGAAACGTGTTTCCGCAGAGGGCAAAACGTCTGTTGTCGCGGTGACCCCAACGAACTGTACCTGTACCAACCGTCGACGCTTCAGATCAACCACCACCAGGCCGCCGACTACAGCGGCCCGCCCAGTTACCGGTCGCGGGCCAGCACGCTTCGGCCGGGCTGCCACCTGATGATGGACCCGACGGCCGGAGCAGTGGTCATCGGATCGACGGCGGTCAGCGGCCACCACAGCCGCAACTCGTCGCAACTGAGCGCGGCCATGTCCGAGGCAGTGGGCGGTGGCGTGTTAACGGCCGCTACCGTGGACAACAAGGTGCCGCCGCCGCCGATCGCCGACGACGACGACGGGGGCGGCGACGGTGGCCACGTCGGTATCGTCGTCGGCGGTACAGTCGACGACAATGTGCGTAACATCGCGGTCGTCGTGGACGAAAAGCCCGCGGAYCGCCATCACATCGGTGGTTGCGGTCCGGTCACCATAGTGCAAACCACGCCGGCCACCAACCCTCCGGGCACSGTCATCGTGACCGTGTCCAGCGCCAACAACGACACCGCCAACGTCCGGTGCCGGGACACCGAAATGGAAATCCTGGCGCATCTGTGAAACGGACATCCGGATGGCGACCAGACGGAAACGGAGTAATAATTGCGGTTTTTCTTCTCGACACTGCACTCGTTTTTCGCTATTAATACAACACTATATAATGATATTATCGTTCATATTGTAATAATGATATTATATTATAACTAGTGATTCGAACCGTTTGCGCGCGTTTTATCCAATATTTTTATAAGTTTAATCTGCATACTTATTTTGTTTTTATTATTATATTATCGAATTATTATATTATATTCGAACCATATATAATTTTATCGTGACTCTTTTTTCACCACTATCCTCGCAAAGTAACTGTAACATTAGTATTGAAAAAAAAAAAGATTCGCGACTGGCTCTAAACTTGGCCCAAATCATTCTAGTAATAATTTATTGTACGTTCGAGTGCGCGAACTCAGTTTTGCGCGCTAGCATTTTCGCAAATATAATATTACTGATGAACTCGTTGTTTATACATAATATTATAACATGCACATAATGTTTATGTTATATATATATATATATATAAATATTTTTTTTTTTTAAACTACTTAAAAGTAATAAACACAAATTGGTGTAGAAAAATTGTACAGAAAACTCATTACTTCCAACCCTTTGCCATTTTCTCGTGATAATGATAATAAAAAAAACATCAAACCCTTTTCAAAACAATCCACGACCTTTGATTTTAATTTTTGTTTTTTAATAATTGATACCATTTGTTTGCACGATAATAATTATATATTTGTTATTTATGTGCGCTTAATATTTTATATTCTTATCGACGACGACTGCTAACTGATACGGATGACCCTCCGTCATGTATAATAGGTATATTTATAACAGTAAATATTRCCTAATCTCGTGAGTGTGTTCCGTAATATTATCATTCGTTTTAAGTTTTTAATTTAATATCGATATCGAAATAATAAAATAGTCCCTAAGAGTATAGTATTAGGTATTTACAACTGTGTATAATACCACGATTATATTCGATTGTAACATTGTARTTGTACTGCAGCTGATAAGTGATATCGTTTTCGGTCTTCAAACGTTATAAAAATTATGTTATCATAAATATTGAAATCACGATTCGACGGCATTATTCACGTTAGTGACTTTGCAATGATAATATGGTCAAAAACACTAACTATTATATCGTGTTTTATTAGTTTTTAGGAATTCTTATTGTGACCTACATGATGTTTATAAAAATTTTTTTCGAGTCATTACTCAATTACGAGTGTGGCTACATTATTTACAAAACCACATTATTGTCAAAAATGATTGTGTTATATTACTATTATTATATATATATATATATATTTTTTTTTGTATACAGTTACCTCATAAATAATTAAAACTTTATTTTATAAATACGATTTTTGTTTTTAGTTATAGTGTTGTACATAGTTATTATTTATTGGTGTTCATATATCAAAAAACAAATCAGCTGTGCTCCAAAGTATAATAACATGCGAAACCGTACAAGTGGAGTTAAGTTAGTAATAATAATAAAAATAAGTAAATAAAAAGAGCTCAGAAATAACTGATTAATGTTTATTTTGCTGCAACCTTAGATACTTGAATAGACTTTTATGAACTGTTGTTAAATTATTGCATTATAAATATTGTTAAGTAATATGTCRTGTTTTTGTTAACCATATTCATAGTGTTAAGGACTTGTGAAGATATTGGATGTGATGTAGGCACTATAAATTATTGTAAAAAGAATATACATAACATGTAATGATATTCATGTACTTGGTATGAAACTGTACAAAATTATTGTGATTATAGTGTATGTATAAGAAGTTTAATAAAACGACAATATACAATCATTACCGATTGTTTACATTTATTTCTGAAAGTAATATTATTATGTTATAAGTGCAATTTAATTTGCACTTCACGTTTCTAATAACTGAATTAGGCATACTTAACATAGGTATAACCATTGATTTTAGAATATAGTATATTCTAAAATCAATGGTACTACTATATGCCACAAATGAGTTACTATAAAAATTTGTTCTCCAAAAATAGTTTCCAACTTATTATTGTCTAACCGTTCTATGATGAATATTACAATATTATTATGCACTACGGACAATGAGAAACGTACACGTTCAATTAAACATCTGTGAAATAGATATATCACATAAATAATTGACAACTGCTATGCATTGTAGTATGCAAAATTTGTATGGAAAAATAATATTTTACGAACTTTTCAAACTGTCGACGCTCTATTGCAACAACCTAACCTAACCTGTCTGTTCCTAATTATTATTATTATTATTGATCCAAAAATTGTGCAACATTATTATATTGTTTTCTGTATTGCTTAATATAACTAATTATAAACATAGATATACTACACCTATGTGAAGTATAAATTAAATAGTTAAACACATCCAAACAACAGTGTCAACAYGTGTTGTATATTATTGTTAATCGATGGATAGGTACGACATAATAAATAGTAGGTAAACATARTATTTAAGACGTAAAAAATATAATTAATTACTAAACCGTAATAAGTACCTAACTTAGTAACTTATTATTACGACATAAATAGTATTGTTATTTCAATCCATCGATTCCATCGATATGTTTTTATAAATTTATTGTGTATATCAAAAATACAACCGTAAWAATGTAAAATATATCTTTTCGGTTAACTCGATAAAACATATATCATTCCGAATATTATGATTGAAACAAATTAAAATTRTACATATTTACAGTTTTCTTCCTCCTATAAATTKTTATGTTTAAATATTTTATGTTTACTAGACAGATACGACTAAAAGGAACTCAGCAAATAAAAGTTTGGTTTTAAGTACAGATACGAAATGCAGAAAATAAAAATACACATAAGTTATGTATAATATTCACGGTAAAAAAGACAGTTATTAACATAAAAAAAAATCGATTGTCACATTATTTGTTCTGACTGCTTACTCTGAAAATTAATGAAAACAAAGAACATCTCCAATGAACGTATAAACTACCAACTGAGCACTTATATTGTTTTTGGGCAATCGATAGATGCTGAATACACGACCCTTTTTTTTTTAATAAAAAAACGGTTAGTTTCAAAAAAATATATAACCGTTATTAAACTCACTGTTATTCTTTAAAATTAAAGTAATGAACCGTCGYGTGAAACCATATTATGTGGTCTGACAATGAAATATGTCTGAAAAGTAATTTAAACTGTTTGAAATGTGAATAATGTTGTCGATTTTGTTAGGTATTGATTAATAAGCYAGGTTCCTATAGGCTATAATTATCCATAGTCAGACGTGATAGAATATTCAAAAAACTCRACAAAAAAAAAACAATAATTAAATAGAAAGCAAAYCAAATTGAGCTATTGCTGTTTATTTKAAATCGTTTTTATTTATATAACCAATTTAAAATTTAAATCAACTTATAGCCCATTATTATATTATATACTGGACGAATTTTTTCAACAAATAACACTGTTTATTATCTTAACAAAAGTATAAATGATTTTGAAAATAATTTATTTTTTTATTATTCTTTTTATTATTGTCGTTTTGTAAATCTTACTTTTTTAAGTGGAAATAATATAGCATATAAAAATCAAATTTCGAACGAATAGTCAATTAGCTACGACATTATCAATCTTTAAATTAATGTTGAGTGGAGTAGTAGACAACCATATTTGTGTAACACATTCATAAAAAATTTGTTGGCATTCAAAACATTTATAAAAACAATAGCGACAAAATAGTAGAAAAAATAACATTTATTTAAGAAATGTGATTTTATGTTGAGTTCGACTTATGCAGATAAAATATTTTTTATAAGACTTTAATTCTTTTTGATATTTAGTTGCAAAAGAATCACTATGTAATTYGTATATTTCTGTGCATATTGGAATATATTCAAATTAGATCTGTTCGACAATAAACGGGTGAACGTTTGTTAAATAATTTGACAAATTGAATTTCCACACAGTTTTCTATTTCCATGCACAATACGCAATTGTGGGAAAATGTGATTACGTTCGGTGGCATGTCTAACGTCTAATTAACATGTATATAGATAATAGATATCTAAGCATAAATCTCGCCGAAAAACCTAATCTCTGACATGGATTTTTTTCCAGATGAGCCTGTACAAATATTAAAATCTAAAAACAAAAGTTTGATAAGTAYTATGTTATAATTTCCTCATAAGTTGACAACTTTTTCTTTCTTGTAGGTCGTACGCAGTCAAATTACATATAACTTTAATCCTTTTCCCACTGTTTTCCGTGGAGTTTTTATTAAGTTAAATGCTAAAATACGCTCGTTATTATATGCCCGCTAAAAACTTTCATTTCATCAAACATAATAAAGCCGTTTTCACATTAAAAAAGAAAAAAACAAAACATATTCAACTTTTYCCAGCACAGACGGGGCAATCTAAATTGTTTTTAAAAACAGAAACCCGACAAWACCCAAACTTTGTGTGGACTTGGTAAACGCATACCCGCCAGGTATAATAAGGTATAATAGATACAGGTTAATTTTTTTAACTTAAATTGTTTTATAAGCGTTGTCACTTGTATAACGTATTTATAGTTCATTAMCATAATATGCAATCTTTTGCTTTTATTATGTCATGAATGTATTTTTATAGGTTTATTAAAGCATCAACATCTAGCCCATAGACATCTAACAATAACTAATCGCAAATCCTCCACTGTGGACACTARAATATAAAATAAAACTTTTATTGCTTAAGGTTAATTTTATTACTCTTAGGATTTTATGATTAAAATATTTATCATTTGATTTTATACTTATATGTATTATAATCATTTATAGTATTAGAAATGTTGTCTATTGCTACTGGCAAGATGTTATAGTATCTAAATCTATACAAACATCAAATTTCGATGATAAATTATTGTAGTATAATCATGTTTTTAGAAATTTTAATATTACACCATAAAAAGTCAATAATTATTTAGCACCCTTTTAAAGAACTGAAAAAAATTATTGCTCTTTCAGTATGGTACACTTTTGCCGAACAAAATACAATATAACTGCTAGTGGGCCGTTAAAAAGTTATTCTTCCGGACTAGTCCAAAATTAAAATCCATCCCTGCCCGGTGCATATTAATGCAGTGCGGCGGCCAACACGCGCGGAAAACTGCGTCCGCATTGTAAAAGCGCGCCATACATCTAGGCCGAACACAGTGCAGCGGTGGTTTACTGTTGTCGTATACGTCTTACTAATCATTCCTTTATTAATAATTAACAAATTTTTTTTTTAAGTTTTTATAATAACAATAGTTACACACATACATAATATCATCATATTTTAACAATATTTTGTAACGAGTGGAATGTTTTGATTTTATAATATTAAAAAAAAAATGTTATAATAATTGCAATCTATCTAAATAATTGTTAAAGTTTCTCAATCTGTGTTATACCTATCTTCTACACTTTGTTTTTTTTTATGAATTGTATCTATGTCTAAATTAAACTAAATTTTGGTTAGAAGATTGGCGGCTGTGATGAATTGTATGATGTTGGTAATGGATTGAGGATTGTTGTTCAATATTTCTGAAAGTGATGATTCGGGTAGGTTGAAGCTTGTACGGGTACTGAGATATGTTCGGCAATCGGTGAGGATGTGTTTTAATGGTTACTTGAACACCGCAGGTTGTGCATATTGGAGGTTCTTCCCTGGACATTAGAAAACTGTGGGAGATTTTTGTGTGATTCTCAGTCTGGTTATTATTACTTCGAATTTTACTTTGATTTTATAAAACACTATAAATGTGAATTTGATCAGGTAGATGCTGGTAGAATGATCAAAAGAATCATATTATATAAGGGTAACTTTTTAAGTTTACCAAATGAAAACTACACATTTTGTAAGTATATTTTATTTAACACAAATTAATATACTAATTTATATAAAGGAATATTTCAAACAAAAATTTAAATAAAATTTTTTTGAAAAAAAAAAGTAGCAATATAGGTTGTATATGTTCTACTTCTAATATAATTAAGAAGTCATGTAAAATAAATTACACAGTAACCAGCAACTGTTTAAAATATATAAATGTGTTCTTTTAGGAAATGGCAGTTAAATTGATTTTGTTTTATTTGAAGTATAATGATATAATAATAAAATAAATTGATTCATTTGAAACAAAGTATTTAATTAAAWTATCTAATAAGTATATAGGTCRATATTGTAAAAAAAATATTTTAATATTTCCACCTAAATATTTTACAAGTTTCCTATCTAGTAGCATTGATTATAAATACTTGTATTTGTGGTCAAAGC